GGGGGGGGGGCGAGGTTCACAGGGTCTCAGGTGGCCGCCGGCTCTGGGCACTGGCGGTCCCTCATGCTGGCTCAGGTCCACCTGCGCGTGCACAGCGGGGAGCGGCCTTTCCAGTGCGCCCTGTGCCAGAAGCGCTTCACCCAGCTCGCCCACCTGCAGAAGCACCACCTGGTGCACACCGGGGAGCGGCCCCACCAGTGCCCGGTGAGCTTCCTCCCCGCATCCTGGACCCCTGAGGGCTGGGGAGGGGGCTAGGCCCTGGGGCGATGATGGGCCTGCAGCCTGCATTCCCCTGCCCTCCGGAGCAAGTGCAGACAGGAAGGAAGGGTGTGTGTGGATGAGCTCTCTCTCTCTCTCTCTCTCTCTCTCTCTCTCTCTCGGCCTGGAATGAATGACACGGGAGGTCACTCCAAGGGCCTGAGGAGGGAACAGAAATGCAGGGCAGCGGGGAGAGACAGAGAGGTTGGGAGGTCCTGGAGACCTCCCAGGGCTGTTGGCGGAGTGGATGCTTGGTGTGTGCCAGGGATCCGAGTAGGAAAACCATCAGATGAAGATCAGCTCCCTCCCTCCCTCCCTCCCTGGGTCAGATCACACCCCTGGGGAGGTCAGAAAGGTAGGGCAGAGGAGTCTCAGCTACCTGTGTGGAAATCGAGCTCCATCTCCAACGCGAGCTGTGTGACCTTGGGCTAGTGGCCGCACTCCTCTGAGCCTCTGCTAGTTGTCCTAGTTGTGCTCCCCCGGTCCTGGGGGAGATTGTGACCCAATCTTTGGCACGGGTCGGCCCCCAGTAAACGCGCATCATGTTGCCGAAGCCGCAGCCTCACACAGGCGGGTTCTGTGGCTCCCGCATTCAGCCCGCCACACCTGTAAGGTCAGGTGTTGATTGTCATGTGACCGGGCAGGAGAGGAAGGCTCAGAAGTCACTCACAGCCACTGCACAGGGAGGAAGGCGGGACACTGCCCAGGTCCGCCCGGCTCAGACACTGTGGTCGCAGAGGAGGGTCAGGAACAGCCCCCGGGCCTTGACGGGGGCAGGGGTGTGTGGGGCAGGTGTGTCCCCGAGCGCCCGGGGTAGGGCTGATACATGTCCATCGCCGTCAGACGTGCCGCAAGCGCTTCAGCAGCTCCAGCAACCTCAAGACCCACCTGCGCCTGCACTCGGGGGCCCGGCCCCTCCAGTGCCGCGTCTGCCCCGGCCGCTTGGCCCAGCACACCCTCCTGAAGCTGCGCCCCCGGATGCACGCCCCGCAGCCCTGTGGCCTCGCCCACAGCCACCTGCCCCTGGCCCCTCTCGCCCGTCTTGCCCAATGGCACCGGGGAGCACTAGATCTGGGGGTGGCGCCATCAGAGAAGATGGGCTGGGATGGGGACGAGGTCAAGGTGTCCTCGGTATCCCCGTGAAGGCAAGGGCAGCCGGCCTGAGGGGCTGTCAGAACCGCCCGGGGAAGGGGTAGGGGTGTAGCCATTAAAGGATTTTCTGACAAGCTGGGCCTCTTGCGCTTTGACCTGGGAGATGGAAGCCATCATGTAGTACCTGAGCTCGTGCCCCACCTGGGAGCACTCGTGCCCCACGTGGGAGCAGGTCAGAGGACACAGAGGCAGAGCCTGTGCTGCCCCTGCATGGGTGGAGCCCTCGACTTTGGGCCAGGCTGGGGGCTGCTGCCCACCTGTGGCCTGTCTCGGGCCAGGCCCCACCTCGGCTCACCATGGACAGATGACCTAGCCCTCCAGACTCTGCAAACTGGGACCGTTGCGGGCACTGAGCACAGCTCTCAGCTCCTGCCCGAGGCTGTCTGCCTGCCTCACCACCTCTGGTGTCCGGGTTCCCACGCGGCCATGGTGCCCCTCAGCCTGTACTCCCTGCCCTGCAGGTGGAGGTGGAGGGGGGGGAGACACACGCTAGTGTCTGCTCCTAACTCAGAACCGTGACATCCCCGCGTGCCAGGATCAGTCACCACAGAGGGCATAGGGCCGAGGGTGCCGAGCTCACCGAAGGGGGGACCTGACAAGGGCTCCAGGCAGGAAGGACAGGCAGAGCCTGGGAACTGGGACCCACCTGTGGCCTGTCCCCTCCTCTGAGTCCCAGAGGATCCCCTCAAATGTGCAAGGTGTGCCAAGGCCTCCTCATGATGCAGGTGGGGACGGCCCACCGTGCAATCACAATAAACGAGGCTGTTTTCAAGCGGTGGGGTCTCGGCCCACCACCAGCTGGGGTTTCAGGGGGGCTTCAGCACTCATCCCGCCCTCTGTCTCTCTCCAGGACAGAGCGAGAACCGAGAAACCCTACGTGGCAGGGCGGTGGCAGGGCGGTGGCAGGACTAGCTGCGGTCCACCGGGAACCAAAATCCCTGGTCCAAGCCGGGTCACACCTTTGGGTTAGGCCGGGTCGTCTGCAGGACCACGCCCATTCCTGGCCCTGGCTGGCCCTGGTGTTGCCAGAGCCCCTTCTGCTCCAGAGCGGAGCCCCTTCGTTCAGCCCCAGGCGCCTCTTTTCCTACCTTACCTCCTGCGGGTCTAGACTTCTGGCTGGCCCCTGACACCTCCAGAGGCCTGAAGGAGTAGAGCGGACCTAGCGGAGAGCAGGGGCTGGGGGTGCGCCCAGACAGGAGCTGGGGGGCCTGCGGGCCCTGAGAGGGGCGGCCCCCTGCGGAGCGCACCCCGTGCCTCGGGCCTGAGCAGCCTGAGTCTGCTCTCGATCCAGGGCCACAGGCTGCGGGCGGGGCGCTGTTTGCCCCGGGTGTGGGCGGGCCGGAGGAGGCGTTTGTCCCTAATGCACCACTGAGATCCGGGTGGCTCCGGTCAGATGCCCAAAGGCCCAAGCCACGGGCCTTTCCCTCGCCATGGCCCAGCGGCGTGGGGGTCTGAGGACTCGATTGGCCCGTCTTCTGGCCGGACTAGGGGTCCGGAGGGAGCGCGGGGGGAAGGAGACCGTGGAGGAGGCCAGACCCCGGGATAGGTGAGGGGAGAGGGGAAAGGCTCTGCGGGTGTGCGTGTCGTGTGCGCGTGTGCGAGAGCACACAGTGTCCAAGGGAGCCTTCCGTGTGTCACTGTCCCACGCTGGGTTGTGTGCGTGTGGAACAGCCCTGTGTTCTGTGGGCGGGCGGCTGGAGGTTACGACAGCTGGCTCCCTAGCCCACTCCCAGGCCCGAGTCCCGCAGCGGCGTGGATAGCACGCTCTCTCGCTCTCTCGCTCCAGCGGGCACACGTGCACACAGCAGTGCACACTCCCTGGAGCAAAGCAGTACCTTTCAGACCCCTCGGACACGTCCTGCCGACAGCAGCCTCCTTCCCAGGACAGTTTAGAGGCAAGTGCTGTCCTTGCCACGCCCTGTGGACTCTGTCCCCTCCCAGGCTAGCGCTCCTGTCTGGTCCCCGCGCCCGCGCCCCTCGGTCAGGACTGTGACGCTGGCACTGTCGCCTGTGGGAGAGGCTTTCCCAGCGCCCCGGCCCTGGAGACAGCTCTGGGGGGTTATCACAATAAACCTTTACTCCCCACTCCTCCTCTCCTGGGTCATCCCCTGCAGGCCCCTGCAGCCCTACGAGGCAGGTATTCCGTGTGACTCAGACGGAAGTGCAGTTTCAGAGCGGTGAGGTCACCTGCCCAGAGTCACACAGCCGGGCAGAGATACAGGCCTCCTCAGTCTGCCTCCAGAGCCCGTCCCCTGAAACTCTACCGGGGGCCTGAACTGACCCTTGGTGCCCGTGTGGCCCTGAGCAACCCCGTGCACTGGTAGCAGGCGCCTGAGTGGAAGGAAAGAGCCGTGCGGCGGCCCGGCTGGCTGGTTGGCGGGGGCAGTGAACACGCCCGGTGGCCACAGCCGTCCACACAGAGCGGCACTGTTAGGCACCGGTGTTGGTGTGTCTGCAGGAACTGCCCGGTCTTTCCCTGATACAGCTGTCCTCGGCCTGCCCGGGGAGGGGTGGGGGCGTGGTGGGGGCAGCCCCCGCCTGGAGGACACGCCCTCCCCCATGACCCTGTCTGGCAGAAACCGACCCCATAGGCCCAGGCGGCACTGCCCGCCTCTCCCCGCCCAGAGAGGAGGCGGTTGGAGGTGCAGGTGAGTCAGGGTTGGAGAGGGCAGGGCAGGGACCCGAGGCGGCTGGCCAGCGTGATGACACATGTCGTGCCTACACCGGACCAGGTCTTACCAGCCCTGGGAATGCGCCCTGGCACCAAGACCCAGGCCCTGAGCCTGGCTGAATGTAGCGGGGTGGGGGCCCGAGTGCTTGGAGGAGGGAGCCAAGGCCCCTCCTCACCTGGCCACCCTTGGCACAGCAACGTCTCTACCCATTGCAATGGGACCATCCTGGTGTCCTAGCTCCAAGGCTCACTAGCCGTGAGACCCGAAGCACGTCATCCCACCTCTCTGAGCCTGTTTCCCATCTCCAGCTGGGGTGATGGTGGGGCTCCGAGGACATGAGGAGATGGCGCAGACACAATACCCGGTGTGAGCCTGGCATGCGTGGGGCCTCGGGGAAGGGTGAACTTTGGGGCGACCCAGGCCGGGTCATATTCTGTATACAGTCCCAGTCCCCATTAACATTCTTTCATAGGGAGATTTTTGGTATGGGGTGTGTGTGCTCATCAGACAGACAGAAAGTGAGAAATCATCCCCTGGGGTGATAGGCATGCCACAGTCCCTTCTCCTCCAGTCTCCTCTTAGGATTTTGGGTATGCACACACATGTACTCAGCATGAGGTTTTTTTTGTTCGTTTGTTTGGTTTTCTAAGAATTATTTTATTTAACTTTATTTATTTATTTATAATTTGACTAGGGTTGGGGGGAGAGAGAGAGAGAGAGAAAGTGAGAAAGCAAGCCACCAGGTCCAGGACTCAAACCATGGTCAGCCATGTGGGAGTTCAGCGCCCTTAACCATCATGCCACCTGCCGGTCCTCCTGGCATGAGTTTTATGCTGCCTGGTCTTGGACTTGAACTGCAGTCGACTATGTGGGAGTCCAGCAATGTAACCATTCCGCCACCTGCTGGTCCCTCTATTAACATTTTTGTAAGTTTATTTACCAGTTTCTTCTATGAACAAGAGACAGAAATCGCACCCCACAGGGTCTTAATGTCAAGACCTGGATCAGCCCTGGGTGCCCAGGGGTGTCTCCCAACTCGAACCCGCTGTGCCTCAGCCTGGTCTTGCCAGTCTCCATTTTAGCGCAAGCCCATCCCTTTGTCCTGCTCCGCTTCTGGGGGCGGAGGAACAGATGAGAGTGGGCGCAGAGAGGAGGCTGCCACGGAGGATTCCCAGGGAGTTCTGGTGGGCGCAGAGAGGAGGCTGCCACGGAGGATTCCCAGGGAGTTCTGGTGGGGGCAGAGAGGAGGCTGCCATGGAGGCTTCCTGGGAGTTCTGGTGGGGGCAGAGAGGAGGCTGCCATGGAGGCTTCCCAGGGAGTTTCGGGAGCAGAGAAGAGGCTGCCATGGAGGCTTCCTTGGCTTCCTTGGGGAGTTTCGGGAGCTGATCCTGCTGGTCTAGGCTGAGAGGAGGTGGGGGAGGTCACCGACTTGAGTCTGGGGGGATGGCATGGGAGCAGGAGGAGGCGACTTCATTTTCTTCCCTTTGCTTTCTTCCTAGGCCCTGGGGTGGCCAGAGCTGCCCTGACCTGGCCCAGGGCCAGGACGGCCCCAGCAGTGTCGGCCTCAAGGTAAGAGAGGGTCCATGACATGGGGAGGGAAGCCGAGCACCCTGACTTCCAAGGCAGACCGCGGCCCGACTGGTGAGGCCCGGGCAGACCCCGCCCCACCTCTGGCCCCAGCATCCCCATCTGCAACGTGGAGGTGGGCGATCCAGTGTGGGGTGTGGGTGCTCAGACCTGTGAGCTTCCTCGGGCCACGGTCCTCAGGCGGCTCCCCTCTCCATCCCCTTCTTTGTTCCTTACACTTTTCTCTTATTCACGATGATTGAGCATGGGCACGCGCATGAGAGTGAGAGAGAGGAGAACACCCTCTACCGGATGCTCCACAGGGTCTGGTCACACCACGACCCCCTTCCCGCAGTCCTCCAGCCCGTTGCGTCCTGGGTTTCCATGTGAATACCTGATGTGCTTCAGGCTGACGAGGCCGGGATTCGAACTGTGGTCACCATGTGGGATTTGGCTTCTGTGCTGCAGAGCCAGGCCCTTCTCCACCCCTCCCCACCCCTTCTTTAGCTTGCTGTCCTCTGGTCTTCGGTCCCTTTTCTCCCCTCCTAGCGTGGCCTCCGAGTGTGCGTATGCTCCTGGCCGGTACTGCCCACCGGTAGAGGGGACCCGAGCCGCAAGCTGGGCTGTGGCAGCGCCGTCCCCGAGGGGAGGCGGGGCAGCCATGCGTGTGGGTCCCGAGTGTCGTCAGTAATGACTAGCATTGAGCTGACCACTCACCGCTCCACCGTGGTTCTCTGCACAGCGCTCCTGGGAGGCGGGCTGTCACTGTCACACCCATTTCACGCATGGGGACACTGAGATGCGAGGGTGGTGCAGCTGGGGGCAGCAGAGCCAGACTCAAGCCCCATGGCCTTCACTCAGATGCCGTGCCTGTCACCCTGCTCCCCTGCCCTTGCCGTGTTCAGCCCTGGGAATCCGTTGTGTAGATTTTTCATAGAGCTGGGATCAAGAGCTCCTGCTAGGAAGGACTTTTGACCCCAGATTTGACCCCTCTGTTGCCAAGGACACAAGCTCAACCCTGGAACCCAGGGCCTGGTGGGTAGTGTCCGTGTGGGTCTCTCCCCTCGTTTCCATAGCCAGGCTGGGCCCCTGGGGAAGAGAGCAGATAGTCGGGCGCTGTCCCACCCTTGGGACCCGCTTCCCCCCTCATGTCCCACACACAGCCCTTCGTCCAGGCGTCTCCTCACAGGTGTGCGGTGGGAGTCTTAAGCTGGGAGGGTCCCAGGCTGCAGGCTCTCCAGCTGGAGCGGTAGAGGCCACGACCACCTGCGGCAGGCGTGCCCACACAGCCCCTGATCCCCAGGCCTGTGGGGGCCAAAGGCTGGCCACCTGGCAGAGCAGCAGTGGGCCTGCGAGGAGCTGGGTTCGGCACCTTTGGGAGGCATGGCCAGACCCTGGGGGCTCAGGGGGGCCTGTGGCTGGGAGACAGCCCAGTCTCTGGGAGCAGCTCTGTGGCTGGGAGCAGCCCTGTCTCTGGGAGCAGCCTGGTCTCTGGGAGCAGCCCTGTCTCTGGAAGCAGCCCTGTGTCTGGGAGCAGCCTGGTCTCTGGGAGCAGCCCTGTCTCTGGAAGCAGCCCTGTGTCTGGGAGCAGCCTGGTCTCTGGGAGCAGCCCTGTCTCTGGAAGCAGCCCTGTGTCTGGGAGCAGCCTGGTCTCTGGGAGCAGCCCTGTCTCTGGAAGCAGCCCTGTGTCTGGGAGCAGCCTGGTCTCTGGGAGCAGCCCTGTCTCTGGAAGCAGCCCTGTGTCTGGGAGCAGCCTGGTCTCTGGGAGCAGCCCTGTCTCTGGAAGCAGCCCTGTGTCTGGGAGCAGCCTGGTCTCTGGGAGCAGCCCTGTCTCTGGAAGCAGCCCTGTGTCTGGGAGCAGCCTGGTCTCTGGGAGCAGCCCTGTCTCTGGAAGCAGCCCTGTGTCTGGGAGCAGCCTGGTCTCTGGGAGCAGCCCTGTCTCTGGAAGCAGCCCTGTGTCTGGGAGCAGCCTGGTCTCTGGGAGCAGCCCTGTCTCTGGAAGCAGCCCTGTGTCTGGGAGCAGCCTGGTCTCTGGGAGCAGCCCTGTCTCTGGAAGCAGCCCTGTGTCTGGGAGCAGCCTGGTCTCTGGGAGCAGCCCTGTCTCTGGAAGCAGCCCTGTGTCTGGGAGCAGCCTGGTCTCTGGGAGCAGCCCTGTCTCTGGAAGCAGCCCTGTGTCTGGGAGCAGCCTGGTCTCTGGGAGCAGCCCTGTCTCTGGAAGCAGCCCTGTGTCTGGGAGCAGCCTGGTCTCTGGGAGCAGCCCTGTCTCTGGAAGCAGCCCTGTGTCTGGGAGCAGCCTGGTCTCTGGGAGCAGCCCTGTCTCTGGAAGCAGCCCTGTGTCTGGGAGCAGCCTGGTCTCTGGGAGCAGCCCTGTCTCTGGAAGCAGCCCTGTGTCTGGGAGCAGCCTGGTCTCTGGGAGCAGCCCTGTCTCTGGAAGCAGCCCTGTGTCTGGGAGCAGCCTGGTCTCTGGGAGCAGCCCTGTCTCTGGAAGCAGCCCTGTGTCTGGGAGCAGCCTGGTCTCTGGGAGCAGCCCTGTCTCTGGAAGCAGCCCTGTGTCTGGGAGCAGCCTGGTCTCTGGGAGCAGCCCTGTCTCTGGAAGCAGCCCTGTGTCTGGGAGCAGCCTGGTCTCTGGGAGCAGCCCTGTCTCTGGAAGCAGCCCTGTGTCTGGGAGCAGCCCTGTCTCTGGGAGCAGCCCGGTCTCTGGGAACAGCCCTGTCTCTGGGAGCAGCCTTGAAGGGGATGAGTTAAATGCCTGAAGGGCCTTGGTCCAGCTCTGGTGGCCTGCCCCTCTAGGGCAGCTCTGTTCTGTGTCAATGCCCGCTCAGCTTCTCCTTGTGCCACAGAGGGGCTGGAGTGTCCCAGGGACATGCACCTGCTGTCACTGCCCCCTTGATGCCTGCTTCTGTTTCCCCAGGCCCGAGCCCAGAGCCGCTCAGAATGGGACCTCCGAGTGAGGAGCCGTGGTGGTTTCTGGATTTGGAAGCAACGACACGACCCTGGTGGGCCCACTCAGTGCCTTGGTCGTCTCCAGAGGCCAGCCGTGGGCAGCGCCTCCGACCTGGCCAGCCATGCCTCTCCATGGCCCGAGAGCCTGGTGCCAACCGGGCCCTTGGCGGAGCCTGCTGGTGCCAGGCAGCCCTCACACTCGGGGCCCGATCCTGGACGTTTGGAGCAAGGACACCCAGGCCTCCCCTGCCAGCAGCCGGCCCCCCCAGCCCCAGAGTGCCCTCTGAGGCCTGAGCCCCTGGGCGACCTGGAAGACACGCCCTGGCTGCCCCGCCCAGTGTCCTTACCCATGGCCGAGGGGGCAAAGGGCAAGCCTGACAACCCAGGGCCAGCCCTGCCAGAGCCAGCCCAGACCCCACACACGCGTCCCTCTGCCAGGAGGACCCGCTACCACATCACTGTCACCCTGCAGGGGCCTGGGGATGGGCAGCGACCTGGGGAGGAGGGTGAGGAACCGGCCCAACCAGCTCCCCACCCCTGCGGCCCTGAGGAATCCAGGGGCTGGCAGGAGCCTCTCCAGGGACCCCGCCCCATCACGGGGTGCCCAGCAGACCCGCCCCGGGAGCCCCGACTAAGACAGGGGAGTAAGGCCCAGCGGCAGGAGCTCCAGGTCAGCCGGACTCCTGGGTCCCCACAGGAACGGTGAGTACCTGCCTGTCCCCTCTGGTGATGGGGAGGGGAGATGGCCTGGCTGCCCAGCCCATTCATTCTCTTGGCAGTGGCCTGGGCTGCTCCCGCTGCGGGGAGGTGGTTCCCTTCTGCCCAGCATCGCCCTCTGCTCCCTCCCCTCACCCACTGACCACCTCTACACCTCGGGAACTCAGTGCTGCCCCCACCCCAGGAGAGGGAGCACTGAACCACTCCCCAGTTCTGTTCGGGAGGCCACAGGCCCAGCCTGGGAAAAGGCACCCAGCCAAGGTGCTGGGTGTCCTGGGGCGAGTTGCTTAACCTCTCTGGGCCTCCAGTTGAGTGGATTTGGTGGCTGGAGACGAGGTGGTTACAGGAGCATGCTTTGAACTCCAGAAGGGTGCTGCCAAAATAGCAGGGATGCTTATTAATTAAGCTCAGCCAGGTAATTACCCCGCCTGCTGTGTGCTGGCGGCCACAGGAACACGCTGGATTTCCAACCTTGGTTTTTATTTGTGTTGACATGACTCTCCTAAATCTGACCCCCAACACTCCTGGGGCGGGGGGTGTGTGTTGGATGTGGCTCAGGTGCCAGGTGCTTTGGGCCGGGGCAGTGTGCCTGCCACCATGCCAGGGCACAGGGGGTGTGGGGACCCAGGCTGGCTCTGGGACCTGCTGGGTGCCCCGGCAAGAGGGAAGGGGCTGCAGAGAGAGGGCAGGAGGGGAGAGGTGGCCCTTGGTGAGGGGAAGCGAAAGGTGGGAAGGGTTAGCTGGGGGCTGAGGGTTTTATCTGCCACTCCCTGGTATTGGGGCCCATGTGGCTCATGACAGACTCAGTTGGAGGGCTAGGGCTCACTTAGAGAAGGAAGACGGGGACCCAGGGCCAGCTCCTTTCTATGTCCCCTCCCTGGGAGGGGGTTCTCTGGGCCAGGGTGGGCAAATACAGGGGCATGGGACAGGAGGCAGGGCACAGTCAGGGCTACAGGAGTGTGTATGACGTGTGCACCAGGCCAGCCAGGCGGCAAGGTAGTTAAGGTGGCTGGACCCCACGTGGCCAACTGAGATGTTCGAGTCCCAGGCACAGTGGCTTGGGCGCACGTATATGTGTGTGTGCGCTCAAACTGGCGAGAGGAGAATGGAGGAGAAAGGATTGCAGCATGGCCATTCCCCCGGGGGTGATTTCTCACTTTCCCATGTGCCTTATAGCAAAAACTCTGAGAAAAACAGATGTGTGTGCACCTGAGTGTGTGTGTCCGTGTCCAAGGGCAGGTGAATTTCAGGGGAGGTGAGCACGTGGCCACGGCTGGCTGTGTTGTGAATGTGCGTGGCGTGCGTCATCATGTTGGGTATGTGCATGAGACTTGCGTGTCTGCGGTGTCTGCGTGTCTGTTTGATTCTATGCGTCTGAGTTTCTTGCTGTGCCCGCATGCGTGATGGCGTGTCTGTGGATCTCTGTGTTCGTGTGCGTGTCTGTGTACCTCCATGCCTGTGTGACCCTGAGTCTGTGTGACGCAGCATGCGTTCATGGCATGTCGCCCTGTGGACTGGTTTGGCCTAGTTTGGGGGTGACTCACAGGCAAGCGGGGAGAACCCGGGACTTGCTGGGTTAGGCCAGGCTCTTCCCCACACTCCCCTGACCCTTCCCAGCCTCTCCCTCCCCGGCTGCACACACCTTGTTTGGAGGTGACAAGTCACCCTACCAACACATCCACTTCTGGTCTGGGGCCCTGCTGGCCCGGCGAGGAGGAAGGGGGAAATACAGGCAGGGGCATTCCGGCACGGTCGGAGGGACATCCTCACGGTCGTGACTGTCAGGGATAGGTGGATGACCGCGGTGACCTCCCTACCCTAGAGTATGCAGGTGGAAGTGGTGACCGTGCAATGAGTGCCTTGGGGTGTCGTGGGGCTGGGTGGGGCTGTGGGACAGCATCGGCATCGGCAGTATCTGACCTGGTGGCCAGTGGCACCCCGGTTTTGCCGGGGCCTCGGGGCCTCGCACACATCGGTGTTCATGCTTAACCCTCCACCCCTATCCTATCTGCCACCTCATAAGGGGGGCTTGCGGGGTCTGACGGAGGCCTGGCACACGGCCTGCACCATCAGCGCTCGGGAAGGAGGGGAGGAGTGACCGTCAGCATTACTGAATGAGGGAGGTCCAGTGAGGAGGCCGGGGTCCCTGAGAAGAAAGGGGCTCCTAAGGAGGACAGGGCAGGGGCTGGGAACTCAGCAAGGGCTGAAACCCAGGGCCTAGTGGTGGTGTCCCGCTCTCGGGAAGCGCTGGGCAGGGGCTGGGATCCACCTTTCCCACGACAAGGCCTTTCCAGGGCCCCCCAGACCCTGGCCCTCATACTGTCAGGCACCCATAGTCCCTGAGTCAGGTCAGGCTTCCCTGGGCCTCTGCCCCTTTCATCTCTGCGCTCATAAAACCTGAGTCACTGCTGGGGCCACAGGGCAGGTCGAAGTTCTGAGCTCCATTAGCTGCTCAGGAGGGAGGGCGATGGAGAGGGGGAGGCGAGTTGGCGTGGTGGGCCCATTTCTGGATCAGGGTGGGGTCTCTGGGGGCTGCCTCATGGTGAGGGGGAACAGACCCGAGCACAGGGGAGCCCCTAGGCTGGCATGGACAGTCTGACAGGCTGAGCCCTTTGGTACCCTTGGGGCCCGGTCAGTGCAGCCTGGAAGTCAGGAATGGGGGTGGACAGCCCCCCTATAACTGTAGGGCCCCCTTTAAAAGTAATCCACCAAGGACCAGCAGGGGGCGAGGTGGTTCAAGTGCTGGACTCCCACATGGTTGACCATGGTCTGAGTGCAGAACTGGGGGCTCGCTTTCTTACTCTTCTCTCTCTCTGTCTCTCTCTGGTCAAATTGAAGAATAATAATAAATGAATAAAATTAAATAAATAATTCTTAAAAATAAATTTAAAAAATAAAAGTAACCCACCAAACCGAAGAGATTCAGTTTACCAGATGAATAGGGAGTTTGCAATGGCGGCTAAAGGATTAAGACTGGGGTTTGAGTTTTGACTCTGTTACTGTGTAACTCTGGGCAGGTTTCTTAATCTCTCTGTCTTTTTTTTTTTTTTTTTGCTAGAGGATAGCTGTGCTTGCCAGAGAGGGGGAGGAGAAAGCGTGTCGCACGGGGCCTGGCCACACTGCAGCCTTCTCCTCCATCGCTCCCTCCTGGCGATTGTGGGCCTGTGTGCACACGCACCTGGCGCGATTCTCGAGTTGTCGGATCTGGGACTAGGACTGCACAGCCAGCCATGTGGGTCGCAGCTGCCGAGAATCCAGGCCACAAAGCCTGCCTACTCTAAGCCTTTTAATCATCTCAGCTACAAAATGAATTTGTTTATAACTTATTTATTTATTTATTCATTCATTTTTGACAGATTTTTGCTATACGGTGCATGCACTCGCCAGAAAGACAGAGAGCGACAGAAAGCGAGAAATCACCCCCCGGGGGGGATGGACACATCGCAATCTCCTCTCCTCCCTTCTCCTCTCGGGATCTTGGGCACGCACACACACGCGCCCGGCATGAATTTAAGCCACCGGGTCCAGGACTCAAACCGTGTTTGGCTATGTGGGAGTTCAGTGACATAGCCATTATACTAACTGCTGGTCCCTATAACTTATTTATTTTTAAGAGAGTCTTTTTTTTTTTTTTTTAAATTGGTAGTGGTTTTTGCTTTAGGGCACGTGTGCTCACAGGGGAGAGAGACAGATTGACAGACAGTGAGAGGGAAAGTGAGAAATCAGGCCCAGGGGGTGGCCATGCTGCAATCCCTTCTCCCCCTTTCTTCTCTCTGGATCTAGGGCACATATGCACATGCGCCCAGCATGAGAGTCAAGCCACCAGATCCAGAACTCGAAACATGATCAGCTATGTGGGAGTCCAGCAACATAGTCATTATACCGCCTGCTGGTCCTCTTGGTTTATAATTTATTAATAATTTCTTCATGAAGCATCCACATGACATGGTGGTTAAGGCAGCTGGATCCCACATGACCGGCTGGTGGTTTGAGTCCTGGACCCAGTGGCTTGAGAATTACACCAACTCAGTGTGTGCGTACCCAAAATCAAAAGCCTGGGAAGAGAATGGAGAAGAGATTGCATTGCGGCCATCCCCCGTGGGGAGCGTTTTCTCATTTTCTCTCTCTTTCTCTCTGTCTCTCTCTGGTGAGTGCAGATGCACTATAGCAAATTTAATAATAACAATAACTTCTTTTTTTATGTTTGTGTGTGTGTTTTAAATAATTATCAGAAGGTATGTGGCTTGCTAAAGAGAGATAGAGAGAGGGGGAGCAAAAACACCCTCCAGTGGTGTGTAGTCATACCACAATCTCCTCCGTTTTTCCTTTTTTTTTAAAAAAACGTTTTTGCCATGGAGTGTGTGTGCTGGCAAGACAGATAGAGAGAGAGACAGAGACAGTGAGGAATCTTCCCCCTGGGGGGATGGCCATAACGCAATCTTTTCTCCTCCTGTCTCCTGTCGGGATTTTGGCCACACACACATGCGCCCGGCATGAATTTCAAGCCACTGAGCCTGGAACTTGAACTGCAGTCGGCGCTGTGGGAGTCCAGTGCCGTAACCACCAGGCCACTTGCTGGCTCCACTTCATTCCGTTGGGATTTGGGATACCTGTGCTTGGTGTTTTTCAAGCCACTGGGGCTGGGATTCAAAACGTGAAGTTAGCCATGTGGGACCGTCCCTTGACTGCCCGGCCGCAGTCTGGCCCGATCATTTATTCTTTATGGGGACTCGGTGAACGCACAGCACTCAGCAGGGCCCTTCCAACAAATGCCCTTCCTGTGCTACTGTTAAACACACTCACGGGAGGGGCCGGCAGGTGTGTGGTGGTTCAGGTGCTGCACTCCCACAAGGTCACTGTGGTTCGAGTCCCGGACCTGGTGGCTTGAAACACACTGGGTGCACGTGTGTGTCTGTATGCCCCAAATCCCCGTAGACAGGAGGGAGAAAGCCGGCCCAGGGACTCAGAGGCGAGCCTTCATGCCGCAAGCTGGCACTTAGCAGCCACGCTGTCCTGGGTGGCCGCTCCTCTCTGACCCTCAGTCTCTTCATCGGTACTCCGGGGGCAGGGACAACTGCAGCAGAGCACGAGGGGGAGTGTGTGTGAGGCCAGAGGGCCGTGTTCTGGCCGGTCCATCTCCCGGGCTGGTGTGCACGTGCACACCTGCTAACGTTCGGTCTCAGTGCTCCACTGTGGCAGTGGGTGGTTTGTGAACCACCGTTATTGTTTATGGAGCAATTGTTCCTTCGTCATCCTGGGTTCTGGCAAGACCCTGTGAAGCACATCTGTGGCCGGGGACCCTGATGCTGGAAGGGGAGAGGTGGCCTGCCCACGGCTGTCCAGCCCAAGCGCCAGGGCTGGGGCAAACCCGGCTCTGCTTGAGGCGTTTTCCCTTAACCTGCCTTTGAATGGTCAAGATGGGCTAGGGTAATGCTGGACCAGGTTTTGGCTCCCATTTGCCCAGATTCGCGCTCCGGAGGTGACCCGGGGCCCCTGTGTAGACCAGCGGGCCACACACACCTCTGCTGTCTCCATTTTCTTTCCTTCCAAGCTCAGGTGAAGGGCGCTATCATGGGATGGCCTGGAAGTGGGGAGGGGTGGGTCAGGCTGCGCCGCACCCCTCAGAGCTGAGGGTCACTACAGATAAGGAGGCAGAGGCAGACGCTCGGTGGCTTGCCCACAGCCTCCCGCCTGTCTGAGGCA